GCGCGTCCAGGTCCACTGTAGCTGAAGCACACGCCCACGCTTTCGGTGCGGAAATGTGCTTGGCCGCCGCCGGTGCCGCTTCCTCGAGATACTGCGGCTTCCTGGATAGTGCATCTGCCATGACGTTGTTGTCTCCCGGGATGTATTCTATCCTGAAGTCGAAATCCGCAAAGAACTCCGCCCAGCGGATGTGTCTCTGGTTCAGGAACCTAGCCGTGCGCCAGTACTCCAGGTTCTTATGATCTGTGCGGACTTGCACGGTGTGTCTGGCTCCAATGAGGAAGTGCCGCCACGCTTTGAAGGCTGCGTGAATGGCCAGCAACTCCCTGTCCCAGATTGTGTAGTTCTGCTCCGACTTGCTGAGCTTCCTGGAGTAAAATGCGCAGGGCCTCCAGTTCCCTTGCGGATCTCTCTGCAACAGGACCGCCCCCACCGCTCTGTCTGAGGCGTCAGTCTCAATCCGCAGCGGTTCGCCGGGGTTGATGTGCAGCAGCTGTTCTTCAGACGCGAAGAGACGCTTGAGTCTCTGAAAAGACTGTTCCGCCTGGTCCGTCCAGGTGAACTTCTTTTTCTTGGAGCTGAGGGTGTCCGTGATAGCCGCCGTCTCCTTCGCAAACCCCTTGATGAACTTGCAGTAGAAGTTGGCAAAACCGACGAACTTCTGGACCTCCTTCCTATTGCGCGGGCTCTTCCAGTCCAACACCGAGCAGACCTTGGCGCTGTCCATGGCGAGTCCCTTGTCGGACAGCTTGTAACCCAGGAAATCCACCTCCTTCACGGCGAACTGGCACTTTTCCAGCTTGGTGTAAAGCCTGTGCTCCCGTAATCTCTGCAGGACCTCCTTGACGTCTCCCTCGTGCGCTGCTTGCGATTCCGAGAAGATCAGGATGTCGTCGAGGAAACAAACGCACTTCTTGTAGAGGAGTCCCGCCAACACGTGGTGCATAAATGCTTGGAAAGTGTGGGAGCCATTTTGGAGACCGAACAGCATAACTTTGTATTCATAGGTGCCTAAAGGCGTAAACATGGCCGTCTTCCACTCATCGCCCTCCCTTATGCGTATCAGATTGTATGCGCCTCGTAGATCCAGCTTGGTGAAGATTCTCCCCTTCCGCCCCGTCGCGAGCAGGTCGTCGATCTTGGGCATGGGAAAAGCCGTGGGCTTTGTCCTGGCATTTATGAGCCTGTAATCAACTATCAATCTTTTTTGGGGCGTGTCTTTTTTCTTCACGAAAAACACGGGACTGCCCCCCACTGCTTTGGACTCTTGGATGAATCCCCGCTTCAAGTTGTGATTTATGAACTCCCTGAGTTCTTGTATTTCGTCCTCAGACATGGAATACAACTTCCCCGTCGGCAGCGTCGCTCCCGGTAGGAGGTCAATCGCGCAGTCGTAGGGCCGATGGGGAGGCAGCTTGTCAGCTTCCTTCTCGCAGAAAACTTCCAAAAACTCCTTGTACTTGTCTGGTACCGCCTGCACCATGCTGAGGTGTAGCTGTGGTTCATCCTCCTGTCCTTCCCCCTCCTGGCTGGGCTGGATGCAATGTTCCACGCAGTAGGAGGAGCCGAAGGTCAATTGGCGCTGGTACCAAGCCAATCCCGGGCTGTGCCTATCCAGCCAACTCATGCCCAACACTATGGGCGTGTCTGATAGGTGAGTGACGTTAAAACTGATGACTTCGCGATGATTCCCAATTTGCATCACCATAGGTGGTGTTTGCTGTACCACTTGCCCCCCTAGCAGCTTCCTGCCATCGACTGTGACGACGTTCAGGGGCATTGTGGCCGGTAGAAGCGCTATGCGGTGCTGCTTGATGAAGTCCACCCCCACAAAGTCTGCATTGCTACCAGAGTCAATGGTAATGGGGACTTCCAGGGTGAATCCATTGGGCAACTGGAGTGATGCAGTGAGTTGCACCACTGGTTTGGGCGGGAGGGGGTCTGTGGGCTGCAGAATCTCTGGGGACTGCTTCAGAAACTTGCCTGGCTGGGCCCCAGTGCCTCTGATTCCAACCAGGCTTGGTCATTTCCCTGCAGCTCATCCCCCTGCTGAAAAGCTCCTCTTACTGTTGCTGAGGCTGCAGTGTGCTTCTGGATCCTCTGGGGACACACTTTGGCCATGTGCTGTGCACTGTCGCATATGAAGCACTTCCTGCTCCCTCTAGGAGTTTTCGTCTTGGCTGCTCCTGGTGTTAGGGCTCTGGTCGCTGTCTGAGCCTTAACGCCACCCAACTCCATTGGCTCTGCCTCCTCCCCCAAAGGAGGCGTGGAGTGTGCGCGTCCAGTCTCCCTGGGCATGAAGGGAGGTGCTCTGGCCGGTGTGCGTGCCAAGCGACCCTCATCCCTGCTCCAAGGGCGTTCTTCCAGCCAAACTCCTATCGTAAGCGCTCTTTGGACGACTTCTGCTGTGGTGCTAGGTCTGTCCCCCCTGGCCAGCTCATCTTTCACAGAAGCATTTAGCCCCTCCCAGAACAGATCCCTCACTGCTGCAGAGTCCTTCTCCCAGCGCAGTGCATTTACCAATGCAAAAAATCGGGAGTGGTATTGTCTCACCGTTGCCTTGCCCTGCCGCAAGCCGTGCATTTCCCTTCTGGCCACGTCAACATCTATGGTTGATTGAAAACAAGCGTCCATAGCCTCTATAAAAGCGTCCGAATCCCAGAGGGCGGGATCATCCTCGCGCCATAAGTTGCGCAGCCAGGATTTAGCTTCCCCATGCAAGTGAGTTATGATGAACCCCACTTTCTCCTCCTCATCTCTAAAGTCTTTTTGAAGCAATCTTAGCGCAAAAACAATGTCTGCTCTGAAGTTGGGATACTGTTTCAGGTCCCCATTGAAGTGCGAGACTATGCTAGCCCCCCTCTTGCCGAGGCCAACTCCCTCCGATCTGGGTCCCTGTTTGTACAAATGTTCCCACCTGGCTTGCAGATCTTTGCAGCGCACCTCTGCTTCCTCTTCCCTCTTTCTGGAGGTTGCTACTTCGGCGTAGAGCTTGCTGACTGCCTCCTGCAGTGCTGCCACCTGCGCCTCCGTATTCATCTCCTCCTATCTTCGTGAGCTCGCAAAAAAAAACTTTTCTTGAGACGGAGCTTACTGTCAGGGGTGCCTCAGGTCCCAGCTCACAAAGGACCAACGCCAGTGTCTCTTTATATACAGAAGTCTTTATTGAAGTTCATTGTTGGTTTTACATCCGTGGCGCGCATCCCTACGTCTGTAACTCTAGACCGTCGAAGCTCCGTCTGACTCTTCCCCTCCCCTACACCAGTTTAACACCCTAGCTTTGCTCCACCTCTTCCTCTGCTCTTTTTTCCTCTGGGTCTTCCTGCCCCCTGGGGTCCCACCCCTCCTGGACTCTTCGGAGGCGGATTCCTCTGACTCCTCCCCCTGTCTTCGGCGGGCTTTGGGACCTGGCTCCCAATCCGGATTTTCTGCTGACCCGCGTGCCTGCACATTTGAACTTGGCGCGCGCGCCCAGCCAGCCACTTTCCTCCTAACGGCTACACTGCTCCTGTCACTGCTTCCTCCTTCGGAGGGGCTGGCTGGAAATGACCTCTGCTCCGCCCCTCCACTCTCCGACGGAGGCGTGGTCAGCTCTGGCTCTCTCTCTCTCCCTGCTAGAGTGGACGCCGGTTCTGATCTGTGGGTTTCTTCCCCCCCGCTACGCTCTGGCAGGGAAGCTGGCCCTGATCTCCAGTTGCCGCTTGGGGACTCACCGCTGGCCCCCCTTGCCCTGACCCTGGGCGCCTCTTTCTGAGAATCTTCTGATTCGCTGGAGAGACTCATGGAATCTCTCGGGTCACTGTCATACCCTCCTAAGCTCCCCTCAGATTCCTCCCCTTCGCTCTCCAACTCCTCTTTCCCCTTTGGCTTAGCCCCTGAGCCCCTGACACAAGGACACTCAAGTCAGCATATCTCCTGGGGTAGGGCACTTTATACATGCTGAGAATGGCTCTCATTTTCATTTCCCTCCTGTGTTTTAGAGCTTAGCCCTGATTCATATTAGAATCTGTTGATTATTTGATTACTTTTATTTTAAAAAGTGGCACTGTCAGGGGCTCAGGAGCAGAGGCACAGGGGAGAGAGGAAATGGAGAGCGAGGGGGAGGAATCTGAGGGCAGCGGAGGGCAGAATGACAGTGACCCGAGAGATTCCATGAGCCTCTCCAGTGAATCAGAAGATTCCCAGAAGGGGGCGCCGATGGCCAGGGCAAGGGGGGTCCCAGGGGGGACACACCAGAAGCAGGGGGCCAGCGGAGACTCCCAGAGCAGTAGCTGGAAATCAGGGCCAGCTTCCCTACCGGAGCGTAGTGGGGGGGGGAAGAGTCCCATAGGTCAGAGTCAGCGTCTCCTCCGGCAAGCAGGGAGGAGGAGTCAGGCCCAGCTAGCGTCCCCGAAGAGGGGAGCAGCGACAGGAGCAGTATAACGGTCAGAAGGAAGGTGGCAGGCTGGGCGCGCGCGCGCGCGCCAAGTTCAAATGTACAGGCGCGCGGGACAGCAGGAAGCCCGGATTGGGAACCAGGTCCTAAAGCCCGCCGGAGGGAGGGGGAAGACTCGGGGGACTCAGCGTCAGAAGAGTCTAGAAAGGGGAAAACCCCGGCGGACAGGCGGACCCAGAGGAGGAAAGAACAAAGGAAGAGGTGGAGCAAGGCTAGGGTCTTAAACTGGTGTCTGGGGGGAGGAGACTCAGACGGAGCTTCGGCGGTCTAGGGTTTAAGACGTAGAGCTGCGCGCCGTGGCTGTAAATGAGAAACTGATCTTCAATAAAAACTATTTAATATAACAACGGACTGGCGTTGGTCCTCTGTGAGCTGGGACCAGGGGCAGCTCTGACAGGCACTCTCTTATGTTAGTATGTTAGTATAATAGTGTGTCCACAAGTGTTATAGCCAGATATTGAATACAAGAAAATTAGGCAATTACACTTACCTAGGAATGATTTGATTTCAGAATGAATGTATCTGAATCTTGGCTTTTATTTTATTTTATTTTATCTTATTCCAGGTAGCTTTTCAGGACAAGATTCAGATAAGTCTGGTGTTTCAATGCAAGATATTCAGTGCCTTCTGGATAAAGAAGGCGCATCAGAACTTGTCACGGATGTCATAGTTAGTACCAAAAATGACAGGATATTCTCTGAAGCTATCCTGCTTGGGATTACATTGCTTGAAGGTGGAAACACACAGATCCAGGTACTTACTTGGTATTGCTTTGTTCTTTCTGTCTATATTGAAAACCTGTTCAAATATGAAAACAACTTAAGGGTGCACACAGAGAAATGCACAAGCAGGAGTCAATGCATTTCAAGGTGAGCTTCTCTTCCCTTTGCCTTCACTCCTGAGACATGCATTGCCTGCCACTCTAGGGCTTTTACTCTTCCAAGGGCATCAAGTTGCCCCCCCCCCCCACATTGTGGGGGCATGTCATGTGATGAGTCACGTTGCATGTCATGTGGCATGTCCCGCCCCCACCGAGCACTCACTCGCCAGACACACAGGTATCTTGCCGCTGCAATGATGGTGTTCGCACGGACCTGGTGAGAAATGGGCTCCACACTCAGCCTGCTCCTCCCCGCGTGAGGAGGAGGCAGAGTGGGGCCACTGGGCTCTGGCTTCTCCTCCCCGTGCAATATTGGCAGGGAGGCAGAGCGGGCCACAAGATTTTGGAGGAGCCCAGCCCCCTCCTTGAAAAATTTGGGGGTCCTGAAGACCCCTCAGCCCCTACCACTCAGCATGTCTGTACTCTTCCCCTCATGCTTTAGCAGACCGTCTGCTCTTTCCCCTCTAATGCCCTTCCAAATATCACACTTGCATGGCAGATCTGTTGTTGCTTTTTATCAGTTTTTTGCTCTTTTGACTGAGGAAGGGGAGGTGGCTTAGTGATGGCATATGGTCCAGCCAATTAAATGCTGAGCATGGTCAGCACCTGCTGAACGTTGACAGAATTGGTTTCCAATTCCAGAATTGGTTTCCAATTCCAGGGAAGATGGTATGTCCAACCAAAACAGGTTAGTGTAATTCCACAGGGGCTTGATTTCTCTGATTATGTATATATGCACATTTGATTATGTATATATGCACATTCTCTGATTATCATATATGCACATTCTCTGATTATGTATATATGCACATTCCCTCAGAGTGCCTTGTATCTTCTTCCAGTGCTACGGGTTGGTGAGGGTCTGGTGCCAGCCCTGCTTGTTAATCAATTAATTTAAAGAAAGGCTTCAGTCTGAATAATGTGATCTGAGCCAGGTATGTGCACCAGGAAAAAACCTCATTGTGATTATGATGAAAAGCTCATTGAAACACTGACTCAGTGTGCAGAGGTGGTGATGACGTAAAACCTAGTGTTGGATTTATTAGGAAAAGGACTTAAAAGTATTATAAATATGGTGTGGCCATATTTAGAATACTGTGGGCTGTATCCAATGTGCCCATTGAAATCAATGGACATATCCAATTTAGACCTGGGAAAGGGGATTACACAAATTCATGGAGAGCGAGTCTATAAATTGCTGTTAGCAATCATATCCAGAACCAGAACCTCCACATTCAGAGGAAGCTGCTAGGCACCAGCAACAAGGAAGGGCCATTATCTTCACACTCTGGTTGTGAGCATCCAGGGGTATCTGTAGGACAACCTTCTTCAACCTTGGGTCCCCAGATGTTCTTTGACCATCTCTGGTCATTGCCAAAGCTGTCACAGAATTATGGGAGTTGTGCTCTAACAACATCTAGTGACCCAAAGCTGAAGGGCTCTACTGTAGGATTCAGAATGAAGGATTCGGTGGACTTTGATCTGACAAAACAAAGGAATTCCTTGTGTTCTGAGTGACATTGCCAATATTTATTTGGCACCATTAGAAATAACCTATTAGCCTTGCATTTTGCTAGTGCTCACTAGTGGTAACAATTTCATCCCGATGACTCTGTTATGCAGATCTGGAAATAAAGCACATTTCTAAAGGTATGTGGGATTTCTTTTTCTCTGGCATAAGACATTATTAACTACCACCTATAGTCTTTGTTTGCCAAGCTGCGATATGTTATTTGTATGTCCAGTACTATGATAGCAAATATTTTCCCATTATTAATCTGCTGATATCTAAAAGGTTACTTTCCCCCTTCAGTATTCCTTTTACCAGCAACTGAATGAGCAGAAAAAATCGGAAAAGTTTTTCAAAGTTCTGTATGATAGAATGAAAATAGCCCAGCAGGAAATCCGATCAACTGTAACAGTGAACACAATTGATTTGAGCAGCAAAAAGAAAGACGATGACAACAATGACCTGACCGTATCAGTTTCAAAAAAGAGAGGTAAAGAAAACTGGGGCTGTATTTCATCACCAACATTCATTTCACTGCAGACTCAGAACAGTCCAAACAACTACAGCTTTTTGCAGGGGGAAACAGGATAAAGGCAACTTCTGCATTTGGTGGGGCAGTGTGATGAATGACCCACTTCAAAAAGTGTAGTCAAGATTGGAGGGTTCAGAAACTCAAGCAAAAACAAGTTCCATAAAAACATACAAGAAACCTTATTAAAACAAACTCTGAAAAAGGAAAAGCTTCAAGTGATTATACAAATTAAGACTGCTCAGAGGCTAAAAAAATAACAAAAACAATCTTCTCTAGCTAGCTGACTGAAACACTTGCGCATAAATCTTAGCAGGCTGAGCGAGAAAGCAAAATACCTTCCTAGGTCCGAACAGGTGCTGACCGTCCATGCTGAGAGCTCCCTATGCTCTCCACAGCCCAGGTTTTTAAGGAAATACTGATTATGAGCATTCACCCCTTCCGCCCAACGAAATCAGACCTGCTCCCATTACATGTCTTTGATTACTGTTTGACACTGACCTTGAGGTCTTAATGAGATGTAATGATCTCTGGCAGGCAAGCAAGCCCCAATAAGAAGTAATGACTCTTATGTATGTTTGTTTACAACAAAACACATTCAGACTTCTCACCTGCTTGTGTTGACGATAGTTGGTCAGTCTGAGTCTTTGCCCCTTCCACAGCAGGAAGGACATCAAACTCCCGCCTTTCCCATTGTGCCCTCTGATCTTATCCAATCTCCTAGAACAGGGACTGAGAGGCTGGCCTTTGCCCTCCCCACTTTCACTTGACACAGTCTCAGACCTCTGCTTTTCTGCTGAATGCCTAGTAGTGCTCTGGCTGCCTTCCAACTCTCCCGCTTCTTGAGAGCTAACAGTGTCTTTCTCAAGAAAGGGGGTCGAACTACGCTTTCTTGACTCTGTCAGCCAGCTCTCATCTGCAGAGTAGGTCCCTCTTTCACTTAGCTTAATTTCTGTGTCTGATTCTTCCCCTGCCCTTTGGTGAGCCATGTTCCTGACATGAGAGGCATCTGTGTTTAGGCTCATTATTCCAGGAATCCTAACAAATGCCCATGCAACCCGCAAGCTAATCTTAAAAGGACTATATCACCACAGGCAGCTTTAATATTCACTAATGACACATTCAACATTTGTTCAAAACATTTGCATGCCACATGCCACATCATAATAAAACTTCACCACAAACCTTCAGTGCAAAATCAGTCACTACCAATTCAAAAATCAGAAGTAAAATAAACTAAATTAGTACCATATGTAAAAGAAAGAAAAAATATAATAATAGAATTGTAGGATTGGAAGGGGCCCAAAGTGATCTCACCTGCTAATGCTTGGGAGAAACAAACCATAGTTCCTGGGTTAGCATTACGTGTGATCATGGTTCATTTTGTTCTGAACGAACCATAATCTGTAGCCACAGTTGTTTTTAGCCTTCTGCTTGTGGTTTGTTGGAGCAGAACAAACTATGATCCCCAGTTCTTACTTAACACTAAACCAGAGATTATGGGTTGCTTCTCTGTACACTACTGGAGGGACAAAGTAGGCAAGGTCAGTGTGTCCATGTAAACTAGTAACTGTGGTTAACACTGGTGTCACAAAAGAGGCCAAAGACTAGGCTGGAAGCCTCCTTAACATTAAGTTTTATATGTGCAAGGAGTTTCTTGCAATTTCTACAAGTGGTACAATCTAGGAATAATTTTATCATATGATAAGTAGTTTATCTGGATCAGACCCCTAAAGTGATAAGTTTAAGAACTGTGGCACGGATATCCAAAATATATGTGCTGTAGCTGACCTGAATTATCACACAGCTCAATGTTGGCTGGGTTCTCAATGTGATTGGGTTCTCAATGTGTCCTTACCAAAATCTTGACTCATATTCATGCCTGCCACCATGTGCTGGGAAGATTTTGCTATAATATAGGTCGTTAGTCTACCACCTTTTTATTGATACACCAACAAGCCGAAAGCATCATAGAAGAGACTAAAGGATCACTTCAAATTCTAATGATGTATTTCTGTATCAAAATGCTTTACAGGTTTTTTTTATTCTCACAAGAACTTGAGTGTAGCTCAATTATTTATATTTTATGATAATCATACATTTGTTATCTTATGTATAGTAAGAGATTCAAATCTGCTTCTGAAAGAAGGAATGAAGGGGCAATTAACAGAAGCCTCGATGGCAACATCTAAAGCTTATTGCGTATACCGCCGAGAAATGGACCCAGAAATAGATCTCATGAGTGCTGGAACAGATGCCGGGAATATAGATGAAAAATCTTCAGAAGAAATGACAATGAGTCCTGCTATTGTGATTATGCAACCAATACTAAGGTTTCTTCAGTTATTATGTGAGAATCACAATCGAGAACTTCAGGTATGCTCTTGACTTTTTATCCCTAACCTTGCAAAAGGAGTAGCCGCCACAGAAGTATGAAAGTAATACAAGTGGAGGAAGCTCATTGTATGAGCAGGCCTTAAAACATCTGATAGAGATTTGAAGCTATTTTGTATGATATTTTGCAGCCCATGCTTTCTACCCTACATCTCACTGAAATGTAAATAGTTTAAAACAACCTACCATATATTTTAGGGACGCGGGTGGCGCTGTGGGTAAAACCTCAGTGCCTAGGACTTGCTGATCGTAAGGTCGGTGGTTCGAATCCCCGCGGCAGGGTGAGCTCCCATCGTTCGGTCCCAGCTCCTGCCCACCTAGCAGTTCGAAAGCACCCCTAAGTGCAAGTAGATAAATAGGTACCGCTTTATAGCGGGAAGGTAAACGGCGTTTCCATGTGCGGCGCTGGTGCTGGCTCGCCAGATGCAGCTTTATCACGCTGGCCACGTGACCCGGAAGCGTCTTCGGACGGCACCGGCTGCCGGCCTCTTAAGCGAGATGAGCACGCAACCCTAGAGTCGGACACGACTGGCCCGTACGGGCAAGGGTACCTTTACCTTTTTACCATATATTTTGCAAAGTTGTTTGTCTGTGCTCTATGCATTTGGACACCTCTTAAGAGAGTGTATCCAAATTTTGCATGATGGCTTCTGAGAGACTTCATTCTGGGAGTTCCAGAATGACTACTACCACACGCCACACCAAGTGCCCTGCACCTCACTCTGTACCTCAGTAAACACCAGCAACCTGCTATCTGGGAAGCCAGGAGATTACCGGTGGCCACTGCTGAACATGACTAACTTTGGTCCATTGTTTTCAATAAATCCTCTCTGACTAAAACTTTGTTGTCTACAAGTGATGATAAGGAAGCATATTTATCTTAAAAACTGAAATAAACTTGTTGATATGATTTATGCAGCCAGTGTACTAACATGTTTTAATCTTTAAAGCTTTTTTAAAAATTCAGTGCTACTCCCTAGAAATAGGACTACTTGATTTGAATGACATTAGTATTTTTATTTTCAACCCTGGAAATTAATTTGGAGGAGAGTTATGATAATGCAAAATTTGCTAATTTGTGACAGTTTGTTCCTTCTATTTGTTTTCAGTATTGGCTCAGTTCAGACCATAATTTGCACTAACCATGGGTTTGAACTTTAGAGCAAGCTTTGTAATTTAGAACATGGTTTAGAGCTGGTTTCTATCTGCTCAACCCCCAATCCAAAAAAATCCCAAATTCACTCCTGCTTCTGTGATAGCACAGCTTCTAGCTGTGGAGCAATGGTCCTTTTGCATCCAGGTTCAGTTCCCATTATCTCCAGTTCAGACTAGGAGAGAGCCTTTCCTTGCCTGAAACATTGGAGAGCCACTGTCAGTCATTGTTGACAATATTGAGTCTTGAGATTCGGAGAATCTCTTCACAGTATATAGATATACTTTTTATTCTCTGTTTGTATTTTGTATTTGTAAAACCAATAAAAAAGATTTTTTTAAAAAAGATAAATAGTTTGACTCACTGTAAGGGAGCTTCTTCGGTTCGTAACTATGGTTTGTCAATTCAATAATGCAATAATGCAAAATTATACTAAGTGCAGACCACAGTTTACAAAACCTATTCAGACTGTGGTTTCTATTTTTTTTTTATCAGTTGGTGGCAAAGTAGTGAATATCACTTCAGACATCACATGAAACTGCAATAATTAAGCTACTTTAACAATGGTTTGGGATAATGCCTGACTGAATTGAACCAGCGTGTTTAATATGATGTCTGCATATGAATAAGGGTTTCCCCCCCCCTATTTTCAGAACTTTTTAAGAAATCAGAACAACAAGACCAACTACAACCTAGTATGTGAGACACTTCAGTTTTTAGATTGCATTTGTGGAAGTACAACAGGTGGACTAGGACTTTTGGGCTTGTACATCAATGAGAAGAATGTAGCTCTGGTGAACCAAACACTTGAAAGCTTGACTGAATATTGTCAAGGTCCATGCCATGAAAACCAGGTAACTTAAAAACTTCCATTGAAGTATCTTCACTGAATTCCGATCTGCATCCAAAAAGTGTCATCACCTAATTAATAGCATGATAATAACTGATGCTTTATGCTTCATTTCTTTATGCTGCTAGAAATGCCATTGGAAATTCAGGTCTGAAAGAAACCTAGAATTTTTTTTCAAACTAGACCAGGCCTTTTTTGGCGTATTTTTTCAGCTGCATGTTTATTTATTTTATTTATTTTATAAAGTGGGTAGACTTGTTTAAACAAGTGAAGACGCCTGCATGAGCTCAGTATGCAGGGAGTTCCAAAGTGTAGATGCTGCCACACTAAATGATTGAATCCTTTGAAATGCATAACAGATATTATGTGGCACCTGTAGCAGTGCTGATTCCACAAATTTAAGTGGTTGAGTGAACACATGTAAGGTAAGTTTTCTGGTTATGTTATCAGTTAATATTGGTATTTGTAGGGTTCCTAGTTTGCAACCTAGTGAACCTGATTTTACATTTCATGCTAAAGATTGAGTGAGAGGTTTTGTAGCGGTTCTGTCTTGCTTCCATTCATCATCCTTCCATGCTTGCTGTGGAGTGATGCTATAGTCTTGATCACTAAAGCAAGCAAAGGAGAGAGAGAGTGGATGGACCAGAGAAGGATCATATAGCAGGCATAGCATCTGCACTGTTTCCTCCTGCATTGTCATAGGTCAGGCATGTCCAATTCCCAAGAGACTGTGATCTACTCCTACTATAAAAAATGGCAGTGATCTACCCACTGGATTTTGATTGTTGAGCTTTTTTTAGGAAGCAAAAGTTGTTGATCACAGCTCAGGGGCACCCACAATCAACCAGTAGATTGCGATCAACCTGTTTTTCCTGATGACAACCTGACAGCCTTGGAGTAGCGGGTTCCCACTCCGAGTATTTAACCACACCATCTTTGTTCCTGCCCTAAAGTACATATATGAATGTATGTGCATATGTAAAATGGGCACTATCATAACTAACACGGTGACAACAATAGCAATATTTTTTTCTTACAGAAAGCATGTTTATGCACATGCTTTCACATTAGTATATAAGCAAAGATGTTTGTGGCAACAGAATGCACAGGTGGTCTTTGCAGAAACACAAGAAAACAAATTAACTACCCCCAGGAGCATAGGAAGGGGGCGGGGGGTGGGTCTCCCCGGGTGCCATCATGGAGGGGGGTGACAAATTATCAAGGAACAATTACTGCCCTACTAGGGTGGTTCATAAAAAAACTTTTTTTAAAAACGCCTGCTCCAAAGGTCTTATCTTAGTACACTAGGGATTATATAGCTATATATGGAATTTCATGCATATCAGTTAATATCTTGACCCTCCTCCATGAAAACAGCTGTTTACTTGGCCATTTTCCTATGTCGTGAAGGCTGAAATTTCCATTGAGTGGAGCAGGGTCAAGATATTAACTGAAATGATGAAATTATATAGCTATATAATCCCTAGTTTAGTAAAAAGAGACCTTTGGAGCAGGCATTTTTTTTAAAAAGGTCCTGGAAAGTCAGCCTAGGGGAAGAAAATGAGACGCCACCAAGTAGACTAGGCCTTGCCTTCGCCCCGCCCCTGCACACAGCCGATTGGCCAGCTGGGTTGGGGGCGGGGCGAAGGCAAGGCAAGGCCTAGTCTACTCAGCCTCCTTTTCTTCCCCTAGGCCGACTTTCTGGGCTGCTGAGGAGGCCTGCCAAGGCCGCTGCCTGTCCTGCGCACCCCCTTCGGGCCCAAACCCCCCTCCAAAAAACCTTTGCTGCCCCCAAAAGTGGAGCGTGTGGGACAATGGCAGTGCTGCCGCCCCGTTTTGCCCGCGTGTGGCGCCGGGAGCAGCAGCTCAGCGCCGCCCTGGGCGCTCGGCAGGCCAGCCTCCCCTTTGCCCCCAACCTCCCCTGCGTGATGCTAGGACCCCCCCCCCAAAAAAAAGCAGTTGTGTAATTAAAAGAAGATGAGAAAAAGCAGCAAAGCTAGTCTGTGGCTAATTGACCAATTAGGGTCTATTAATGAAGTTCACACTTTTGACAACCAGTCTGATGCTTTTGCAGAAAAATATTCCTAGACGCAAGACTTTTATTTTTTATTTTTTAAGCCCTTTCAGTCTCCCATCTCAAGGCTAAGTACAGCAAACTGTACATTCCCACCCCTCTCCCCAAGGCCACATTATTTACCTCTGTATGCTTGTGTATCTGGGTCTCCCTTGTATATATTAGGGACTATTCTCTTGCCTTTCCTTTGATGCTACTGATTACTTCTGCCACTTTAATTCTAGAGAAAGTGTTTAATTTATAACAATACATTGGTGGTAACAATACATTGAAGACAAGTACTGTAAATATTTTGGGGAGGGTAGTCCCAAAGCCCTAGCGCCACCATCCCAAAGAGGAGATGACTCTGGTACTCTTTTTCTCCTCCCCTCCCAAATGTCTTTCTCTCTATCTGAACTGGCTCCCTGCCTGTTACATGCGTGTGGGGTTCCTCTTTGTGTAAAGTCTTCAAGCTGTTCCTGCGCATGCCTGACAAATCTGCCCCATTGTCAAAATTTATCTTTCCCCCCACCTCCAGTTGTGTGTCCTGGCTGAGGGGGAAAACAGGAAAGACAGATGGCCATCGGTCAGGGATGGTCTAGTTGAGATTCCTGCATTGCTCCAGAGGTTTGGCTAGATGACCCTCAGGGGTCCCTTCCAAGTCTACAATTCTGTGGTGCAGGCTTGTGCAGATTTTTAGGTACAAGTTGGATGCAAGGGATGCATAGGATTGCAGCCCATCTGAAGCACCGTCAGCTCAGGAATAAGTCCCACTGATCATGATGAGACTAGATTGCTGCTGTGCAGTCCTACTTTTTAAATAAATGTTTTCCTTTTCAGATAATACAGAGCATGGTGAAATCACAATAAATAAAACCTCCCCGTCAGTAGTTTCAAGCACTACTACAGGTTCCGCATAACATCTGTACTGCATTGTTTACTGTGACAGCACCTGCACTGTGACAGCACCTGCCTATTGCAACAAAGCACATGCCTTTGCTAGACTCTTTTTGGGCACCTGCTAAAAGCATTCTTCTTTAGGCAAGCATACCTAGATGCTTAGGAAGTTGAAGTAATTTTAATCTTAATCTTAAAGTAGGATTGTTAATTTTTCTTGATTTTACTGATTTTACTGCTGTGGGTTTGTGTGTGTGTGTGTGTGTGGTAAACCACTTTGCAGGTTTTTAAAAATAAATTTGAATAAATAAACAATAAATATAAATAAAATAACACAAGCCATCCAGTAGATTTAACTATATGTCCACAGTCACCTACTTGTTATCAGAGGCCCAGAATCCACATTCCTTTGTATGAAAATGTGAAATAACGTAAAACCATTTTTGCAGCAAAAAAAAAAAAAAAATCAATGTTGCAGGGGGGTGACAAGAAATTTTCTGCACTGGGTACAACCTGACCTTCCTACGCCTCTGACTACCCCATTGGCAATGAAACCAAGAAATACATTTCTAGCTTTTCTTTTTAATAATTCTTCAGCAGATGTCTTGGCTATGCTGTAAAGGTTCTAGCAGTTTATTATTCTGAGAATTCTCAGGCTTTATAAATGTTGAAGGTTTGGACTGGGATTTGAGTGTTTAGCACAAAACCTATCACTGGGCAATGCAGGAACAGTTTTAATTTGTAAAATGCCTTTACAAATGCTCTTGTGTTTGGATGTGGTTCAAAAGATTTAATGTCACAACTTGTAAAGCTGCAAAACAATTTTTACAATAACAATTCTTTCTTGTGTGTGTGTTTGTGGCTGATTAGCTGCTCTCCCTGTGCAAAGGTCAGAGGGGGCAGGGTTTCTGTTGAGTCAGGTGATTAGCTGTGGGAGGAGCTTATCAGAGTTTGCAGGGCAGTTTGATCCATCTTTTAGATTTAGGGGAGCTAGTCTCAAACATTTGTTGGGGAGACCTAGGTTTTTTGGGGGGGGTTATTTGTCCTCTCTTCACGCTTTTTAAGATGGAGGACCACTGTAGCCACCCCCAACGACACGTTTTCAAGATGGAGGGTGAGGCAACAGCTGCAGTCGCCTGCGGTTCCTGCGCAATGTTTGCCATCTTGCCAAAGGTTGCAGGCAGCTTTAACTGCAGCAATTGTATGTTGATTGCCCTCTTAGAAGACAAAGTCCAGCAACTGGAGGAACGTGTAGCTACGCTCCAAAGAATTAGAGAGCTGGAGCTCTTCTTAGAAGCAACAAAGAACACCATCTCCACCAAGGAGGAGACAGGGGACACCCCTGAGAAGGAGGCTAGTTCACCAACACAGGTGCCAGATATATGGAGAAACGTGACTCAAAGAAGTAGGAGGCCCAGGGTTCCCTCTGATTGTTTAGAAATACACACTCGCTTTGAAGTCCTCTCCGCTAGCATGGAAGACGAAGAACAGACTCCATTTGAGGATCTCTCCCTCATTACAGCCGATCAGGTATATGAAGATGAGCAGCAAAGTCAGTCCTCAGGGAATGTGCAGGCAACCTTGGAACGGACAGTTCATGGACGAACCCCGACCAAACCTAAGAGGAGGCGTGTAGTGGTGATAGGGGATTTCCTACTGAGGGGAACAGAAGCAGTGATCTGTGGGCCTGACAAGCTGTCTTGGAAGGTGTGCTGTCTCCCCGGGGCTAAGATCCAAGATGTAACTGAACGACTGCAAGGAATCATAAAACCCACTGACAAATACCCCTTCCTCTTGGTTCATGTGGGAACCAATGACACTGCAAGCAATAGCCTCCAGAAGATCAAAAGAGACTACAAGGCTCTGGGCAGGAAATTGAAGCAATTAAATGCACAAATTGTCATCTCATCTGTCCTCCCAGTTGAACGACGTGGCCCAGGGAGAGAGGGAAAAATAGTGGAAGTGAACAGCTGGCTTCGCAAATGGTGTAAACAGGAACGGTTTGGATTCTTAGATCACGGACTGCAGTTTCTTGAAGATGGACTTCTGGCAAG